TTTTCTATTACATTTAAATATATGCATATTGCAATATGTCCACCAAACAAGATTCGTGCATTATAATAATTAATTTTTATAGTCCATGTTTTTAGATTTTGGTAGTTTTTATAATTGCATAATATTTAGAGCATGTTGTTAGAATAATAAATATTTTGCTATTTTCATAGGAAAATGTCTAAAAAAAGTAATTATTAATTACTTTATTGATGTAATTACTATTTTTAGTAGTAATAACATTAATAATAAATTAGAAGTTAATAACAATAGTTACTTTTCATTAAGCACAGATTGTAATTTTTGTAACATATTGAAATTTCGGCCAGAATATTTTCCCAGGATGAAAAGTCTCTTCAACAGTGATCACCAAGACCTGACAAGGTGGTCAGACATTAAAGAAACATTGTCACTGGAGGAAATAGCAAACTTTAACTATGCGCCAATAGCATCTGTGTTGGCGTGAACGTTGTTTTCAGTACAAATCAATTTTGAAAAGCAACAGAGAATCGTTTCTGTTTTGATACCTTAAAATGGTGAATGTTATACACTGTAATGGAAAAATTAACAGCAACCGTTCCAGTCCATAATTCAGGTGATTTTTGTCATAATTTGCATTGTTTTCGTAGACTATATGTTATTTAGATCTTCAGAAATAAATATAATGGATGAAAATAACAAATCATGATAATGTCATATTTTTATGAGGAAGTTGTGTGCGGTAGTGGACTGGGGAAGGAGATATAACATTTTTTAGATTCTCTACTGTTCCCAGAAATAAGGAAAGTAAAGTTATTGCACCCTGGGAACAAAGAGGACAAAAATTGGGTAACTACTTTGAAGTGAGAAGTTAATTGGTAATTTTCAGTCAATAATGGCCACGAACGGGTACCAGCCATCTTCGTATCAAGTTCAAAGCCTAAACATCTAATAATTTTTCTGACATTCTCAGATTTTTCGGCTGCAACGTATGTAGATTTTCCTGATTTTTGTAATACGCGACCTACTGAAAAGGACATAGCTCTCACAATAAATAAGTTGTCAAAATCGATTGACGGCAAGTCTGTCTATCGGTCTCTCTGTGCGTCTGTGGCCAATGCTAGCGCCTAAACAGTTCAGCCGATTTCTCCAAAAATTGATGCTACCAGTTCGAACTGAACGAACTTGATGCTTTGGGAGTTTCATACGAATATTTTGAAGATTTTTTACATGAAATATGATTTTTTTCTCAAAAATAGCTCAAAACTCATTTATTAAATTTTGTCACGGCTAGCGCAAAGGACGCTTAAGAGAATGGTGCAGGTGGTATGTTCGTTGAAATCCCTGATATTTCGAAACTGTAATACATGAAGACATACATTTTTCCTTAATGAAATCTGTTCTTTAACGACGCTACAGTAACGACGCTTTAGTCTCGCTACAACTGCAATATTGAAGTCATACATTTTTCCTTAATGAAATCTGTTCTTTAACGACAGATCTTGATAAAGGGCATGTTCAATTTTCCAAAAATATGAGTAAATTTTATGTAAGTTTGCACGAACACATTTTTCATTAAAAAATGCTCAAAAACCGCTAAAAATTTTTTTCTTTCAATTTTTTCTTTGTATGTATCAAGGGACGGTGAAAATAAAGTGCTAGTCTTATTGTCTGTGTTTTCGAAAATTGCAAATAGTTAATATTTCAAAACTACAAAATTGAAGACAGAGATTTTTTCTGAAACAAGGTATGTAGTAAAAAATCTGCTCTTTTACCTTTTCGCATAAGAACAAACAGGTTTTGCATAATTTGTGTCTGAATTTCAGAGAATTCAGCGAAAATGATACCCACGCCATTCTTTTAAGCGTCTATTCTATGTTAAATTTTTGCAACTTTCGAAAATCAAATTAACTAACTATGATATTTTTGTAGGGAAGACACGTCCGGCGAAATCATTTTAATTTGCATCGTGTTTCCTAATCACAGTAGTGTGTTTTCCTTAAGGAAGAAATTTTTGGTAAAAACACGACTAAGTTCTGAAGGAAACGCAGTATGAAAATCCAGTCATGATATAAAGGTGCGATGATTAACTGAAAGGCTAGAATACGACAAAAAATTATGTCGACTCTCAAAAGGATGTTTTGTAATATTTTGAGATTATGTAATACATTAAGAAAAATACACGGGTTCATATCATTTCTTTATTATCTCTACTTCTGCATCGTAAACTATTATCGATTAACATGCCATACATGTTGATCTCTTTGACATCAATTTGTATTTGACATGTAAGAATGACGCACCGATAAACATCCAGAAAAATTGGTCCATTTAATTTAATTCACATAGTACATGACCACGAGTTGAATCGGTGAAGCTTTTTCGCTTCGCACACATACATTTTCACCATTTTATTTTATGATTAAAGTTTACTGCAACTTCTGCAATTTTATTTCCATTTTCATAAGAGATATGTCTTTCGCCTGCTTGCAGCAGAAGGGACACTCGCTTCCTGGATGGCTTCATTCGACCGCATGTTGCGTTTGCTCCGCCAGAGGTACGAGTACCAGTAGAACATGTTGGCGGCGAGTCTGCGTCTCTGCTTGTAGCAGGAAGGTTCTTAGATGGCTTCATCCGACCGCATAATACGTTTGCTGCGCGAGAGATACGAGTACCAATAGAACATGTTGATGGCGAGAAAGCACAGCGGGAAGACCACCCTGGAGGCGCGGTCGATCTTGGAGACGGAGTTAAACCTGGGGGTCTTCCTCTTGCGTCGGCTGCGGCTGAGACGCGCGCTGCGGAGGCTGAGGCGGTGGGCGGGGGCCCGGCGCGCGCGTCGGCGGGGGCGGGGCGGGAGCGCGTCGCCGTCGCCCACCCCGCGCCTCCCGCCCCTTCCGGGCTGGGCGTCGAGGAGGGCGCGGGCGGCGGCGGCGGCGGCGGCGGCGGCGGTGGCGGTGGCGGCGGCGTGCGCCAGCTTGCCCGCACGGGCCCGCGGGCTCCCGGTCGCGCGCCGTCCCGCGCCGCACCGCCGCTCCCGACGGCCGCAGCGCTCCCAGCGCAACAGGGGCGGCCGCGCGCACCCGAAGCAACGCGGCCGGCCAGGGCGTGCGCGGCGCGGTGACAACCGGCGCGCGCGCAGGCACCGGGCGCACCGGTACTCGCTCAGAAGGGAAATCACCTCCACCGGGCCGCGGGTCGCCCGCGCGCCGCCCCGCCGCCCGCGCCCCCGCCCCTGCTCACGCCGGACGCCGGCCCCGGGAACTGCAACAGAACAGACAGCTATTACACGGACAGCGGAAGTTCAGACTCATCCTCACCACCAAACCAAGAACTGTCGAGAGATTGACGAGGTGTGACTTAAGTACCATACGGCGCCTGCTCGTTTATCATCACAATGATGGCCATGATAATAACGAAAGTCGAGAACGACGGACGAGACAGGGGAAGAGGTTGAGACGGGAAGGATATGGAAGAGGAGAAGGAGGAGGAGGATGAGGACAAGGAGAAGAAGAAAAAGAAGGAGGAGGGGAGGACGAGAGGACGAGGAGGAAGAGAGGAGGAGGAAGAGAGGAGGAAGGAAGGAGGAGGAGGAAAGAGAGGAGGAGGAAGAGAGGAGGAGGAAAGAGAGAGGAGGAAGAAGAGGAAGGAGGAAGAGAGGAGGAGGAAGAGAGGAGGAGGAAAGAGAGGAGAAGGTGGGAGGGAAGGAGCTGGAGAAGAAAAAGAGGAGAGAGGAGGAGGAGAGGAGGAGGAGGAGGAGGAGAGGAGGACGAGGAGGAGGAGAGGAGGAGGAGGAGAGGGAGAGGAGGAGAGAGTGGGAGGTGGAAAAGGAGTATGTAGTAGGTACATGTTATCGATTTTGAAGTACTGAGATCGGGGGTGCAGTCGTAAACTTTCCAATGCTGGAATATTTGATTTTGTATTAAAATAAACAGCAAAATCCTGAATAGCAGAACAACAGACACCGAAAATACACAAAGATATTCCGAGGGCAGAGCACCCCTGACGATGCTGCTATGCCTTCCTCCCGCTTTTGGCCTTAGTGACATAGCATGGGCAGCAGCGGGAGAATGCGCAAGACTCAGCGAGCTGTTAACGAAATCTTTCGAAAAGATGCCTGACAAAGATGAACTTTCATCAAGATATATCTTGTTATATTTGCAGATTACCTTAGGAAGTGGTGTATCATAATACGTTATAGTAGAAGAATGGTTTAATGACCTACTATGTATTCGCAAAGCACCATGCTGCGACACTAACACCACTGGTGGATAGTAACGGGAGACATGGGCGGATTGAAGCTTGATACATATTAAAAACGGCGTGTAATCTACTCGAAATCCACATGCTTGATCTTTCTCTTTCGTGGGTAGACTCTATATTTTTCAGCAAATTACTAAATATCGATGTAATCACATCTCAAATTTAAATTATAACGAATACGTTTGACACGTTTTCCTCCAACAAAGATTACTGTAACAATAAGCAAGACTCGACATTATTGTGTTGATTATAAACTGCATCATGATTCTCATATTAACATTAAATTGGTAACAGGTACTGAAACAGAATTCATCGCATTTTATTTGAAACCATTTCATTACGGTAACGTTGATCAGTGATGTGTCTCAAATTAAAAATTTCAATTGCACTCAAGTCCCCTTCGTCTACATTTAAAGAATATGCAACATTCTATCAATTTTCTTGTTTTTGTAATAATTTTTTATGTCTTTGTTGTATACTTTATGTAGTATGTACTTTATAAAAATGTTTTCACTTACACAACCATGTTAGCAGATTGTCAGTGCTATGAAATATAGAAACTCTTTCAACTGGTCTTGGTCACAAAAATTCGGTATTATTGAGAAATTGTGAAAAAAAATATTTATCCTCTAGTAATTTGCAATATATTTCAAATTTCTGTAATATATCGTTATTTAGAATTAAGAGATTGTGAATTTTTCATAAACGGCTTTGCAATTCATATCAACCGTGGCTAATTCATTGTAATGAGGCAGACTTACTGACACACCACAGCTTCCTTCTTGCCAGCCTTCCTCGTCGGAACTGGACTCGGAGCTGAAGTCAGCACTGAAGTAGCATTCGCCGGAACCATACTTCGTAAAGTAATGAACGACAGCGAACTGAAACAGACATGCAGATTGAATTAGTTTGAAAAATTCTGTTATTTCTTTCATTAAACTAAAAGCACTAAGCACGTACATAAATCGTACAAAATTAGTATTTATATCAGAGTACAATGAAATACAATAAGGTATATAACAATTTCACTACCACTGGCAAATGCCAGTGTCTGGTAATGGTTCTTTACGCTTCTGTGTGAGATGCTTTTATGATTCCCGAGGGGTAGAAGTGTGTAAAGAGGACGTTCCATTTATGGAAGGAAGGTAAATTGTGAAAGGAAGGAACATTCATGTCCAGAAGCAAAACAAGAGGCCATCTCAGCATTTGCTCAAAAGATCAGAGAATCCTGATCCTGATCGAGATGGGGTTCATTGACCTAGAAATTGAAGTACATTACTTGTTACAGGCATATAAGTATTTTTATAATTATACAATACAAATGTAAACTAATGTGTTATGTATTAATGTTAAATGAATATTGTTTCTTTTTTATGGTCAGTATAATCTGTAATTGGATTGAAACAGTAATGGAAGAGAGAAAAAAACTGTATTTAAACTTGGGTACCGATTTCAATGATTTTATGTCTTCTGGCCATGTGCTTTATAAATATCTGCATTATATGAAAATATGTTTAACAAATTATTAAAATATGTTACAAAGCAAGTCATTTTTGACAACATTTACAGTTTCGTAAAATAAAGGCAATGAAATACTAAGATTGCAAGCTCAATGAAGAAAGGCTTACAGGAATTACATGGACGACATTTGCTTAATATCCGAATACGTCTTATCTGTACGGGTACTATAGGATAAGATTCCTCAGAATATGATGCCATATAACAAGCAGGAAAGTACATTTGCAAAATCCACTCAACAAACTGCATGAAGACTGACTGAATTTGAAAGAATTGTGAATGTGTAATTCAATGAACCAGTTTACGACACAGCTGATATTAAGTGATTAGGAAAGAACAAAAAAACTTCCGCACTCTCTAGTGAATTTTCAGAACTGTCACAGCAGCAATTTTGCTGCAGCAGGCATCTAGCATACACTATTTGTCGAAGATAAAGTTTCCTTTTCTCTGTCTTTACACTGAAATGCATGGCTTTGAATACTCACCTGAATTATAGTCGCGAAAATGAAGGCGAAGGACAGGAAGACGAAGAAATCGAGGGCTGTCGGGTATGGCACTTTGGGCAGGTCCGTCCGCGCCTCCAGGCCCAGGAACGTCATTGTAAGCACCGTCGTGATACCTGATGAATGACAGACGTTTATCAAAGACGGTTTTTACATTATGAAGCGGATACTTTACACTGAATTCTAATTAATTCATAATTGCGAATAATGAGAAAAAATCGAAGTATTTATTCAAATCAATTTTTAAAATTCAGTGTTAAAAAGTTGAATTCGCACAACTACAAAATTTTCATATAGTTCCATTTCCAATTACATATGTTGGGTGAACACGTTCTAACTAGTAAATACGTATTCAGTAACTGTGAAAATCTGTTAACGTAGTTTCACACTTTCCCAAATCAGTCGATTTTACGACTTTTTACTCCGTGGCTTTTCAGGTACTTTCGTAGTTATGATAACTTCTTACAATGCGAAGCGGAAAGTAGCAAATTTTCAACAGAAAAACTCGAATTGTTTGTCTCTATTATCAAAAAAGTTTATAAATCTTATCTCGTGTAGTTAGAATCCACTTTCGTGGGATCTTATACCGAAAAATCTGGTTTACGGCAAACCGTCTGTCGAGACCTTTCGTGAACAATTATAGCACGTAAACTGGTTAAATATTTTATCAAAAATTTATATTCTCTGGCCAATGTCCTGTGATTTTGAAAGGAATATTCTGAATTTTGGGCGCACTTTACAAGAAGCCCCAACATTACCCGTGAGGCTGGTTGAGTAGGGCTAAGGTGGTATCCTAGACCTAAGAACCTGAGTTCGGATCCCAGCGTAAAAAGAAATTGCGGGTTGGAGACTTAGGTTTTTAAAGAGACATTTTGTAGGTTCGCGTAGTATTAACTATTATGCGTAGCCCCTACAAATAATGCCGCGCTGTTGTAGCACAACTAGTGTGCTTTTACAGCGTTCTAATAGTCGCCTGTCGCCATCGCTGTCGCCATGAACGCTGTCCACGTGGTCTGTATATTGATTTCTTTTGTACACATACATACAGGTATATTCATCATATTTATCACATTTCAAATGAGTCACATATTTTACTATCTCTTCAACAGGTTCAAACGACTGCCAACTACCTCGTATTTTGGGCATTTCTTTTGAACTTTAGGCAATATTGTACACCGAAGTACACCAATTAGAATACGGCGCTCCGATCGGCAACAACTATAAAAGACAACCAGAGTTTGACACGGTTGTTAGATCGGTTATTGCTGCTACAATGGCAGGTTATCACGATTTAAATGAGTCTGAACGTGGTGTTATAGTCGGAGCATGAGAGATGGAGCATAGCATCTCCGAGGTCGCGGTGAAATTTGGATTTTCCCGTACGACCACTCACGAGTGTACCGTGAATATCGGGAATCCGGTAAAGCATCAAACCTTCGGCATCGCTGCGGTCGCAAAAAGAACGTGCAAGAACGGGACCGACAACGACTAAGGAGAACTATTACACATCACAGACCTTGCGTAAATTGCTGCAGATTTCAATGCTGGACCATCAACAAATGTCAGCGTGCTAACCATTCAACGATACACTATCGATATGGGATTTCGGAGCTGATAGTCCACTCGTGTACCCTTGGTGACTGCACGACACAAAGCTTTATGCCTCGCTTGGGCCCGTCAACACTGACATTGGACTGTTGATGACTGGAAACACGTTGCCCGGTCTGAGGGATCTTGTTGCACATTGTTTCGAGCGGATGGACGTGTACGAGTATGGCGACAATTTCATGAATCCCTGGAGCCAGCATGTCCATTCCTGGGGACTATTCAAGATGGTGAGGGCTCTACAATGGCATGGGAAGTGTGCAGTTCGAGTGATAGGAGAGCCCCGATACGGTTAGAAACGACTCTGACAGATGACTCGTACGTAAGCATTCTGTTTGATCACCTGCACCCATTCATGTCCATTGTGCATCCCGACGAACTTGGCCAATACCAGAAGGGCAATTTGAGAGCCCACACGTCCAGAATTGCTACAGACCCCAGGAACACTCTTCAAAATTTCCACTTCCACTGGCCACCAGACTCCTCAGACATGAACATTATTGAGCATATCTGGGAACCCTAGAAACGTGCTCTTCAGAAGAGACCTACACCTCTTCGTACTTTTACGAGTTTATGGACAGCCCTGCAGGTTTCATGGTGTCAATTACTTCCGGCACCACATTAGTCGAATCCATGCCACGCCGTGTTGCGTGCTCGCGGGAGCCCTACACGATATTAGGCAGGTGTACCAGTTTTTTGGCTTGTCAGTGTATCTTCGTTTATTCTCGGGAGCCGGTCACGAAATCATGCGAATTGAAATTCACAAAAGGTCTTGATCACAACTTTTGTGTAATTTGTTTTAAAAGTTAACATACTCTTTAACTTACAAAAAACTAAAATATATTAGTAAACGTTTTATCATTATATATTGGAAGAGTTGTACAAAATTTTCTCAAGTGAGACAATATGACCTTTCAGGAAATGTTATCAGATGAGATCAAGATAGAATTTTCTTCCTGCTCACCTTAACGCGCTGCAATTCAGTTATGAAGGCACACAAGGGGAAGGGTCAACCTAACTCGCACCGCTCGTTCTGTTCCCCGAATGGGGCAACTTCGAGACCACGACTTCTGGCATCTCCCCGCAGTACAATGAAGGCGCGGCTAGCCACTGGTACAAGTTGGTGGACTAGCGGCAAATTCTTACCTGCGCGGGAAGCGCACATTCGGTTTAATAACGGAGAAGGTCAAAATTTGGCAAGTAATGCACCGACTTAGTCCAACGAATTTGATGAGGGTTTTTTCAAGCTACTCCGACACATTTTGTTAAAGGAATATTATCTAACTTTTAGTTGCTATTTAAGCTACATACGGCACAAGTTTGTGATTGGAAAGAACCCTTACTTTTATTTCTAAGTCTAAGGATATATAAAGGGACCACATAACACATTATACAACATTGTTGCAAGTTAGTGTTCTGGCTTGCTATTGTTATCTTAATAAGTATTCTTTACTTGCAATAGAAATGTAACGGTACAGAAATACTAATTGTAAATAATATTTTAATTGTTTGTTTGTACAACGATATCGTTGAATGATTCACTCGCTGACACTTGATGGCCCAGCATTGAAATCTGCAGCCATGTGCGCAAGGTCTGTGACGTGTAATGATTCTTCTCAGTCGTTGTCGGTCCCGTTCTTGCCCGCGGCCTCAGCGATGCTGGAGGTTTGATGTTTTGCCAGATTCACTATATTCACGATACACTCGTGAAATGGTCGTACGGGAAAATCCAAAGTCGATCGTGACCTCGGAAATGCTATGCCCCATCTCTCTTGCGCCGATTATAACACCACGTTCAAACTCACTTAAATCGTTATAACCTGCCATTGTAGCAGCAGAAATTGATGTAGTAACTGTGCCAGACTCTGGTTGTGATATATTGTCGTCGGCGACCATATCGCCGTATCTGATTGGTTCCAGAACTCTTTATTTCAATACGCATGGCTGTACCACTGTTTTTGGCACTTCAGTTTATTTCAATGTAGTATTTATTTTGTTCGCTTTCATGACCCGACTTTTGCTGACGCTATTACTTAATAGACTTGCACACATTACTTACAAACACCCAATTATTCAACTTTTGTCAGTTATACAACTTCCACTTTTGTCAGTTTGAGAGTAAATCTTACAAACTTCTTGGGCATATAGAGGCGTGGAGATGATAACTGTAAGCAATGATCATGTGGTGAAAAATCTCATATAACGAAGTTACACATGCGACAGTTCCTTCTGTTTGGTAGACAACTCATCTACTGATTTAATACAGATACCTGAATTCTCTTTGCTGAACAACAGTGCATGATAAGTTCCCCATCAATCAGGGGTAAACGTCGTGTATGTAACTTTATTATAAGAGATTTCTCAGACACTGACAAGTTCACTGACAAAAAGTGATCATCTTCGAACCCTCAACACGCCCTAGAAGTTTGTAACATTTGTTATGAAACATCCTGTGTTTCACCTGTTGCACGTCTCGTGGCCGACTTACCTAGCGAGACGCGATCCGCCGTAGCCTCTCGGTTCAGCCAGAAGGAGACCCACGACAGCACGACCAGCAGCACGCACGGCCCGTACACCTGGATGAGGAAGTTGCCCATGTGCCGCTGCAGGTGGAAGCTGACGAACAGCATCGAGTACTCGCCTGCAGAGCATAGCAGCCCAGGGCGCGCCGTGAGGGGCGAGCGCTGGGCGGAGGGCGGGCGGGGGCGGCGGGGCAGGCCCCCGCAGCGCTTGCACACGAGGAAGCAAACCAGCTACCGCAGGATGCTGCAGTCAAGTTGTCGATGCCGGAGCGAACGAAGTTTCAGGCCGGCGGCCGGCAAGGTGTAACAATATTCCAGATTTCAGGGAGGGAAGGATAGCGTAACTTGTTATCAAATTGGTGACGTACCACGCAAGTAAATAGTAGTCGTTTAGAAGGGATGCTTTACCACTTGTGGGAACTTTAAGGAACATTTGGATACTTTAAATTTGATTGACTCATCACTCGTTTCGACAATATTGTCTGCACCAGAGACTTAAGGTTAGCGTTTAAGATCATGAAGACTTAACAGCAAAGATTATCTGGATGTTAATATTTTTGTAAAAAAAGTGCTTCTGCCTTACCACAAGGCGACCCGATCAATTATTTTATTAATAGTTTAATAAATAAATCAGAAGTTCTGGTTAAAGTAGATTTTTTTAGATTATTTTTTTAAATCAAAGACCATGAAGGTAAATGTGTACATGTGTATGCAGAGGGTTCACGTTGCATTGTATGAGAATTTATATCTCAAATCTAAAACAAAATATAATGTGCCGTCGAAATTGAGGATTTACAATATTAATTCTCGACAAGCCACTAACGAAAAATTGAGCTCTTTGAACAAACGATGTTTATCAATACCTTACAGGTTTTGTTTGTGTTTAGAATATTGGAATCCATGAAAGCATCTAAAAACAATCAGGAGGTGATCTTTAGCACTGATTATATTTGTTTAATCGTTTTAAGAATATTCCTGAAGATTTTAATATTTTCAATATTTTGAAAGGAGAAATCAAAAATACCCAATTTTTC